GATGGTGTTGGGTCAGAAAGAATTTTTTTCTTGTCTTTTATTATAAAAATAATTGGATTTTATTTAAATATCTACTGCCTCCTCACCTCTTGTCCTAGCAATTCCTTTTCTGATGTTGCTTGTTGATGATTCTCAAAACCCTTTGAACCTGAACAGGATGTAGCATACATAACACTTCCCAAAGATTTCTCCTGGATAAACTTATACACAATCAAACACTCAGATAACAAATATATTAATAGCACATAGCTGTATCTCTCACTGTATGCATATATTTTGTCTACAGACTGTCCATCTTTGCAAGGATCTATACCCCATCTACGAGCTTCTTCTGCTGATGTAAAGCCAGGGTCAAAAGTGAGCCTGTCCTGTGATCCAGGCTTCCAGATAGTGGGAAACTCTGTTCAACACTGCCTTAACCTTGGACAGTGGACACGGCCTTTTCCCCGCTGTGAAAGTGAGTTGTCTTAATGGGCTGGCAGAATTAGCAAACCTAGCAACTCTATCACTGTCCATGGCTTGTTTACCCCTGAAGCTATGGAGTTATTTGAGTCCATCCATGTCACAGCATATACACATATACTTAAAACTAAACTCATACTTTAGTGAGCAGGAACTACACCACAATTGGATTCTGCCACCTTTTTCAGTCAGTTTCTAATGCCTATGACAGAAATTAGTCTATTTGAATCAGCAATACGATTTGCCAGACTTTGCTCTCCAGTAGCACCTGGTCTCAGACCCATACTGTAACTTCTGAGGGGTAATGTGGTAGCTCGTTTTCTCAGTGAAGGAAAACAACAGAAAGCCCCATGGAGGCAAACTTACTTTTCTGTTTTCCTTAAAACTCACCACAGATCATTGATTATCAGGGGAAATGTCCTGTAACTTGAAAGGCATCTGGTCATATCTTGGTCACAGATGTCTCTTCCAGAGATAGCAGAATAGCAGGAGCTGGAAAGTCCTATCAGACTGACAGGCGTCCACAAAACAAGACCCTCCACCAGACCTGGAATCGGTTAGCTACCTGAAGAAAGTTGTGGGCCCACTTGCAGACAGGATTCCACGGTTGCAGAGAAGAAATCTCCAGTGGTGGCTCTCATGTAGAATGATTTTGAAGGTGATCTGTGTCTGCTCTGCTAAGATCTGTGTCCTCTTCTCACTCATGTTGCAGGAATCAGCTGCGGAGTGCCTCCACCTTTAGAAAATGGATTTTATTCAGCTGAGGACTTTTTTGCTGGCAGTATTGTTACCTATCACTGCAACAATGGCTACTATTTGTTGGGTGACTCCAGGATGTTGTGCCTAGACAATGGGAGCTGGAACAGCATTTCACCATCTTGCCTTGGTGAGATGTGCTGGCAATTTTGCGCTTCTCCTGTCCCCTTGGGTTTAGGTGGAATTTCATTCTGAAATTGTGAAGGCTGACCAGAGTCTCAGAAATCACACCCAAAATACTCAAAACTTCTGAAATACTGTGAAATACTGAAATACTGTGCTCAGCATTATTTGAAACTAAAACTACATTCTGGGACCTTACTCTGTCAGTCCTCTTGTATGCCCCACACCCTATACATAATAAGCCTGTCTCCTTCCAGGTTCATTGAAGTCTGGAGTCCTTGCATTCTCTGCTTCTGACCTGTGCTTTTCCCTATGCTCCAGCATGCTGTCAGTGTCCCATACTCTCTGACCAGGTTCTTTTACATGTTTCATACATGGAAATTGAAATGCTTAATATCAAATTTACTTATGGTTGATGCTGCACAGGATTTCTATTTTAGCAGAGGGATACCAAAAATACTGCATAACACAATACAAATAAAAGCAAGTTACTGTTAGGCAGTGATTGCAGTACACAGTTCAATCACTCTATCGGTGTGTTTCTCATTACCAGTCTCTATAATATGCTCACTGTCATGACACTGGGCATCCTCAGAAGCTGGACATGAATACATGGATTGAAACCAGCTCAAGCCACTAGTTGTCTGGTTTTTATGTTGGCTTGAGCCATGTATTCAGTTCTCCTCATGTTGGTCTGGCTAACTGGGATAGACATTCACACTCTTTTTAAGGAGCTCTGGAAAAGCATTTACACCACCAGTTGATCCATCCAACTGTTAACAGGTGTTTACCTAAAACAAAGACCATCTTCCAGTCCCCTTTTGTTGAGCCAGCTTCTTTGTAATAGGTCAGTCACACCCCACATATTTCACTGAGCTTCATGGACAGATCACCTTTGCCCATCTCCCATGAGCCTTCTTCCATTGGGAGGGTTTATTTATCAGTCACACACGTCTGTCAGCAAGTACCTGCAGCACTGAGAGGACTTGGAGTGCACTTATCAACACAGTTCACATAGTTGCCACACCATGACTTACTTCCTGATCGGCTGAGTCTGATGTACCAGATGCAGCTGCAGGAGCTGAAAGGTGAGACAGACCAGCATTGTACTGACTGCAGTGTACTAGATGTGACTCTTCTTACAGGGCCATATCTCCAGGAGTTTTCTGCTGGAGTAGTCCACTAATTATTTGTACTTGGATTGCTGTTGTCTTCATCATGCCTAACATGGAAGTTGTGGGGTAGCAACCTGGCAAGATTTCTGTTTGATGTGACTTGTAATTTTATGTAAGTGTAGCACATAATTTTTTCAGTCAAGACAAGCAAAAGTGAAGCAAACTGTCTTTTAATTCTGCCAAAATTCACTTTGGAGTAGGATCCGTCTGGTTTCATAGCTTATCTCATTTCTCAGTACTCCTTAAGAACCTCCAAACAGACTGTCCAGTCTGCTGCTTCTCTCTTTGCTTTTCTCCTTTGCGCTTATACCAAGACCTGAAGATGAGCAGGCTCAGGGCAGATGCCACAGGGCTGTCCAAATAGTTCAGTGTCAGTCAAGTGGGACTCATGATGTCAGGAAGGAGAAGCCCTGCACCTCACCCTCCTGCTTGCCTTCTCATAAAGCAGATTAGACCAAGGGGAAGATGAAAACAAGTGGCTTAGGAGCCCCTCCCACACTTTACCTTTCTGATTCACACTCCAGGCAGGTGCTAACAAAACCTGGTACAACTGCACCTTGGGGCATTCCTTTTGCTTCGTTAGGAATCTGATTCATAGTGTCCTTCCATTCTTCTTGCCTTACAAGACCTTACAGGACCAGCAGTCATTCCAGTTTGGCCATGGTAACACTTTACATTCTCCCGGTGCTTGTGTATTTGGCAGCTGTTCTGATTTTAATGTGCAGTTTTCATCCTACATGTCAGGAAGAAACTCCTTTATTTTTCAGAACATGGTTGTCTTCTTTCATGCTGGCCAGACTCATTCAGAAGTGAAGAATAAACACACCAATTCAGTAAACTTCATTGTTTTTATCCAAGTTGGGTTTTTTTGGCCTGGAAATGGGCGAAGAACTCCAGCTATATGTCTGTATGGTATACCTAGTTCAACAGCTGTCCTGTAGCAAGGCTTTAAATGGAGCTATCTTTTTCTGTCTAACAGTCTGATTTATGCAAGGAGTAATCCCTGATGCCAGCATTTTTTAATTAGATACTTTGACGCTGACTGTTTGCAATTTATGACTCGTTGTTTACATACCAAGAACACTTTTTCAAAATCAGTCAGGATTTGAAAGCTGATTGGAAGTACTCTGGAGTGAAGGATTTTATTTTTATTTTTATTTTTTTTGCAGTACCAAGCTATATGGAGTATAAATAATCAGTTGGCATTTCTAGGCACTACTGTCACATAGATATAAAATATAAATATGACATATTTTGAAGGAATTTTTGCTTTTCTGGCAACTGCAGGCACTTCTTGTTCATGCTGTAATGTAATCCTGATCACCAAATATGAGGTTCTAATAGTGATTTGTGTTCAGAGTGTTTCCCTTCTTGGCTAAGTTTTCCTGTCTTATAGGTGGGAAGTTTGAGATATAGAGAATTTCCCAAGAAAGTGCTTGATGCAGAAGTCCTTCTTCAAAGTGTCAGTCCAAACTAGTAGTAACAGCACATGAGTTACAATGTCTATTATTTAATAGTGGGAAACTAGGTAATGTTTTAGGTCAATAGGATTTGTCTCTGATTTTCTCATGTTACACAATATTGTATAGTCAGTTATATAGAAATCATAAATATTAACTAAAATGTTTTTACTAGTGCTTCAAAAATGTGATTGAAGTAGGAGTGATTGTTAATTGTGCTATTTAAAGCCATTCCTGTTGACAGACAGAAATTTAAAGCAGATGCTTATTAGAAATACCACCCTGGAGACATCTATTTTGTGTTTCTTTTTTGTAGATGTTGATGAATGCGCTGTTGGATCAGACTGCGATGGGCATGCCTCTTGTCTCAACACAAATGGATCCTATGTTTGTACTTGCATCCCTCCTTATACAGGAGATGGTAAAAAATGTGCAGGTATGGGAAAGAAAAGGATAAGGCTAGCCTTTCCAAGGTTTGTACAGGTCTGTATCCTGCCTCCCACTGTGGAAGACGATTGCAAGTAATGGAGGTACAGGACGGGCATGTTCTTGTCTCCAGATCACTTTGGCCTGACTGCAGCTGTGATGAAGTGTCTCCTTTTGCTTCTTGAGTGCTCATCTCTCCCTGTGGAGACAGCTGTCATGCAGATTCTACTCTAAAGCAGACACTGATGCAAAATCCTTGTGCACGTGGAGCACGTGCTGAAGACTGGGAAAGCTGCATGCCACAAGGTGTCACTTCTCAGAGCAGATCTGTGCAGTTAAGAAATACTTGAATACAGGCATATCAGTAGGGCTTGAGCGGTCTGTGGAAACATTAGGCAAAGTAAGTTTCCATGAAGGTAGAACTGGCATAGGTTGGAATAAAAGGTAGATGAGCCATATTCATGTTGGACATGCTGGAATGGGTTTTCCCTTACAGAGGGAAAAAAGACTGTGACATGTGATTGCTTCTGACAATGAATGCAAACTCAGTTACAGAGTGCTCTTTCATATCAAGATTATCTTAATTGCCTGAGTCTGCATGATTGCCTGTCACTTACATACAGGACAGAGAAAGCTGGTAAGGCTGTAAACTGCTTCTGAGTGTGTTCCAGGTGCTCTGCCTCCCCACATTCAGTAAGTGCTTAAGGGCATCTTCTGCAACTGGTTTATAAAACCTGGTACTTAGTTATGTTATTGGTAGTTTCTCTGTTCCTCCTCAGAACCAGTGAAGTGCCGTAACCCAGGAAATCCAGAGCATGGCCGCTTACATGGGAACACTTACAGTGTTGGCAGTGAAGTAACATTCTCCTGTGAAGAAGGTTTTCAACTGACAGGAGTGACTAAACTTAAATGCATGGAGTCCGGGGAGTGGAATCACCCAATACCATATTGTGAAGGTGTTGTTCCTGGGGAGAATGCATGTTGTAGTATGTGTTGTTAGAGAGGTGGAAGGGGAAAAGTAGTGTGGAGCCTTTAGGGGCAATGACAGCTAATGAAGCCTGTCCTAGCAGACCTGGGTCCAGTGTTGAAGTCTCTCTGAAGAGTTGTATGCAACAGTTGAAGCTTCTCCAACAACTGTCGTATTCATAGAGCTACTGTCTTAGGCAGATTCTCTGAAGTGTCAAAGGTGTAGACTCATTTTAATACAAGCATTAGGAATGTCTTTCGTCTCTTCCTAGCCTCCCATTTTTAAGTAATTTGTGAGAGTTTAATGTCTTAAAGATCTGCAAATGTGTTTCAGTGGATAAAAAGCAACCAGAGGACAGGCTATTGCATGTACATATACATGGTATAATTGCAGAAACTGCTTCTTTAGGAAACCAGAGCTAACGAGGTGAATTAACAGGGTAGAATGAAGGGATGACAAAGACACTGTGGAAAAAAAAACAACTAACAACCAGTTACTTTGTCCACAAGGAGGGGTGGGTATAGAGTCCTCTTGACAGTTGAGCACATGATTTGTAGAGCCGGTGCAACTACCTGTTTCTAGTTAGTCCAGTTTCTCAGTAGGGCAAAGTCAGATAAAGAGCCCTAAATGTCAGTTATAGCTTAGTCCAAAACTCAGTGTCACCGAGGGCTTTACAGCTTTTCAAAGCTATTTAGAGAAAGCAAAGCAAATCCTGATTTTCTGTTCTTTTTTATTTGTGTTGTATCAAATCTCTCTTGTGATCTTGTCTTTTTAAAGCTGTATCCTGTGGTGGTCCAGTTATTCCAGAGAACAGTGCCATTTTGGGTTCAAATTTTACATACCGCAGTAAAGTGATGTACAGGTAGGAATCCAGTAAGTTTAAAGTGCTATATTAATGATAGATTGAGAACTGTCAACAAATGAGAGAATGGCTGAATGGGGAGAGTGCTTGAAATGAAGGAAAGGAGCAAGATGAGATTAATGGAAAGATACTTGGTTATAGCTGTGGCTATCCACTAGCAGAACTGAATGTTTACTTCAGTATTACCTCTCTATGCCCTGCAGAAGAAAATGGTGTATGCTGGTGTGGATTAAGAGAGGAAAGGGGTGATTAAGAGAGGAAAGGTGACTACCTTGTATATCAAAGGCTCTGTGTTTGATAGCAGTTCTTTTCTTCTAACTCAGATGCAATGATGGATACAAATTAGTGGGTGTAAAGGAAATTGTGTGCCTTGCTAGTGGAGTTTGGAATCATCCTCCCCCCTCGTGTGAAATGGTGACTTGTCCTACCCCACAGGATATCAGCAATGGAAGATACACACTCACTGGCACAACCTACCTTTCCTCTGTGTCGTATGCCTGTGACAATGGATACAGGTAAATGCAGGAACTTCCCTGATCCAAATGTGGGCACAATGTTTGCTAGAAGGTCTAACTTTTTTATGAAAGAGACAAAGAAAGGTAAAATGCTAAAACAGAATTTTAACTTACTTAAATCTTGAAGGTACTTTCTGTATTTCATCCTGAATTGGAGCAGTTCAAGACCATTCAGAATTTGCTCTATACATACTGAGAGACATACTTTGAACATTCAGAAAATTAGTTAGAATTATGTTTTAAAGTTCTCATTTCTCGCTGAATTTTATCACACCCTTACAGCTTTAGCTCATACCCAGTATTATTTTTGCTATTGTTTTACAATGCCTTTGATGAAAGAACCTTCTGGAAGTTACTAATTTACTCCTTGAACTCTGTGTAGTACTTATTTATTTTAGGCTTTTATTCTGTTTTACATTTGTAAGCTGTAAGATTTAAAACACATTTTTAATATGCCTCAATTAGAATTTAATACAGTACTCCTGTATTCAAGGGTGTGGCATTAAGTGCAAGTTTCTACTTCTCCTGTTCTGAGCTTGTACCTCTAGCAAATTTACTCTGATATAAGCAGGCTCATATGGACCTGTTTAGGTCAATTTTTTTTTCTGTATTTTACTGCTGCAAGCATTTTCTTGTAAAGATAGAGTCAGGTAGGTAAGGTATATTCATTTGGTGAGGTGAATGTTTTAAGCCTGTTAATACAAACTGTTACCTGATCTGCAGTCCAAGGTAGTGTTAAGTTGTAGATCCACAGTGTGGGCTTACCTGTACCCCAGTAAACTAGGCAGTGTTTTTAACAATGTCAGTGAGGTTTTTTAACATGGATTTAGGTCATATAGGCAGCAATTGCTGCATCTTTCCCTGCCTAGCATAGCTTGAGGAGAGAAGTCCTCTCTCATTTGGTCACCACTTCATTAGCCCCTGAGCTTATTTCAGTCAACTAAACATGGGGTTCTAATACTATTTTAAACTAAACGGTAGGATATCAGACATACCTGTGTAGGGCTCTCAGATATTATATGGGACCTACTGGGAATCCATAACAGCTGACAGAGCAGCTGGAGGCCAGGGGATTCACCTGGGTCATCTCAGGTTGGTGTTGCATACCTCTGTTCAGACAACTGAGTCACACCTTTTGTACCAATGCATTGCTGTTTCCTCAGCTAAGGAAACTAAGAAATACAATCAATTTCAAATTTATGTGGTCATACACTCAAGCAAAGTCCTCTACCTCCTGAAGGAATGGAATGCCTTTTTGTAAACAAACCTGAACTGGAGCATTTCCTTCATTTTTCTGAGTGAAAATAATCCTTGAGTGCATCAGGTCGCAGTCTGAAACCTAGTTGTGAGTCTCAAGATTGGCATGGTGTTAATGAAATAGAAGTAAATCTTTAGACTTAAGTAAGTATTTAACCACCCCATGACTTTCTTTTGTGGCTGAGAGATGGCCAAAGCCACAGCAGAAGTTATGTTGTGTCTGCATGGTGCTTTTAGACCCCACATTAATATCACTAGCTCTCCAAAATAATTTCAAGAGCAGCTTTTTTTGCAGTATCAGCAGTACAGACGGCGAGATTCTGGTCTCTGCTGAAGTCAGTGAGAGACTCCCCTTGGTTTCATCCAGGGCAGGAAGTCAGTGAGAAGCAAAGCACCTCTTTCCTTCTCAGTTCCTCACCTGGACTGAAATGACAACCTCAATAATGATCTTTGTGTCTCAGTCTTCAGGGACCTTCCGTACTAGTCTGCGCATCTTCAGGGAACTGGAACGGCACGCCTCCAGCTTGCAGCATTGTCTCTTGTGGATCCCCTCCTACCATCAAAGATGCAGTCATAAATGGAAATAACTTTACTTTTGGAAACACAGTCTCTTACAAGTGTAAAGAAGGGTATGTAGACAAGCACTGCTGGACTAATAGAAGAGTAAAACTGGTACACAGCTTTATAAGCACCTCAAGCCTTGTAAATGGGATACAATAGCAGCATTTGAAGAGGGTCACAGCTGTCCATAACAGTAAATGGAGTGGCTCATACTAAATGTTGGCACGTAATAAGGTCTTTTTCTGGAGTGCAGTTTTGAGGCTTTGAAAACAAATCCTGCAAACAAGACAAAACACTTTAACAGATGTTGCCATCAAAAGCTGAACTAACACTGTCCAGCCTTCAGCTGGAAAGAATCACTGGGAACTTTGCAGTAGTTAGTGTTTCTTTGCTTTCTGTGAGAGGAAGATAGTCACAGGTACTGTGACTAGACAGTTGCATGTTTAAGCAGCAGGGATTTAAGTAGGATGGTGAGCAGCATGGAGTAGTGCCTGTCACTGTATCCCAGAGGCAGATTACAGAAATACTACTACATTAACAGTAATTATGTACTAGAATTTAATTATGGGGTTTTTTTCTTTTTATCTACTCAATGTTCTTTTTTTAAATTGGATTTTATAACAATTTTTACAGAGTCTTTTTAGGAAGAAGTTAAAAAACTGCCAGGTGCATTACTGGCAAGAGCATCTCTGTATAGCTCACTAAGGGACTTATCATTGCTTGCAAGTGTGAAAATAGATTGATAGGGCTGATATAGGAATGTAAAAGGCCTTTATGAGCTTTTAATCTCTTTCTTCTCCATTCAGTGCTGCTAAAGGGAAAGAATTTTTTAGTGAAGTAGTTTCTTTGAGGATTATATGGACTCTTGAAGCACAGTACTACATTTGTTGTAGTTTCAACCAAAATGGAAGTTCAGAAATGGTAATTAGATAGATAGATAGATGACAGAGAAACAATAAACACAAAGTGTGCTAGTATATCCCTCAATGTGATATCTCACCCATGGGCATGAAGGCTTTAAGATTTTCCTTCCAAAGTCGATCATAGCATTTGTAAATCCTGTTTTTCCACGGTGCTAGCAAGCAAGGTTGTACTGCAGGGGCTTGAGAAAACTGTAGGTAGCATTCGACAATGCTTATCTGTTTGACTTCCTATGTGATTTCCTTATCCACAGCTACACATTAGTTGGCCCTGCAGCCATAGAGTGCTTAGCCAGCGGCGAGTGGAGTGTGAGCCACCAGCAGTGCCTGGCAGTATCCTGTGATGAACCACCCCATGTGGAAAATGCATCACCAGAGAGTGGCCACCGCCTCTTTGGCGATATAGCTTATTACTTCTGCTTGGATGGCTACAGCCTGGCTGATAACTCTCAGCTGCTTTGCAATGCAGAAGGGAAGTGGGTGCCACCAGAGGGCAGGGAAATGCCCCACTGCATAGCTGATTTCTGTGAAAATCCATCCACCGTCTCGTACAGCATCCTGGAGTCCATTAGTAAAGCCAGGTTTGCAGCTGGGTCTGTCGTGAGCTTCAAGTGCATGGAAGGCTTTGTTCTGAACACTTCAGCCAAGATCGAATGCCTTCGAGGAGGGCAGTGGAATCCTTCTCCTTTGAGCATCCAGTGCATCCCTGTTCGCTGTGGAGAGCCTCCCCACATTAGCAATGGCTATGCCAGTGGGGCCAACTACAGCTTCGGAGCAGTGGTGGCTTACAGCTGCAACAAGGGGTTCTACATCAAGGGAGAGAAGAAGCGGACCTGTGAGGCCACTGGTAACTGGAGTGGCAGTTTGCCCACATGCCACCCAGTGTCCTGTGGTGAACCACCGCAGCTTGAGAATGGCTTTTTTAAGGTACAAAATGAGTTTTCTCATCCACCTGGTACCATAGCAAACTGAACATGTCTTCACAATTGCTGCTATTGGGATTTTCTTGCTTCTGTTTTGTTCTTCTGTTACAATTAAGGAAGCACATGACTGGATGTAATAAGCGAAGGCAGAAATGGGCGAATTTGCAGCAGAACCGTGTCTGGAAAAACATGGACACTTCCATAGGATTTCCTATCTTAAAGAGGGCTTTCTGACTCAAGATGCCATATAACAAACAATTTATTTCCTTAATGTCTTACTCGTCATTTGTGTGGTCCATGGGTGGCTTTCCAGTGCCATCTGGAGACATTTGTAGTACTGTTGACAGTTCACAAGCCTTTTTTTTTTTTTTTTCACTGCTAGGAAAAAAAACCCTGATTTCTAAAAGATAAATCACGGTGAGATAATTTCTCTCCTTTCAATGCAAACATACTTTTTTACTAAAGACAGAACTTCTGTTTCCTTACCAAATCAAGCAGCAATGTCTGAAGTTAAAAATACCCCTGTGGCTGCCCAAACCTGTAACAACTATTTAACCCATGTTGTGCTTTGATGTACAAGGGTAATATTGTGGTAAGGAAGGTAAAAAACACTTTTGTAAATATTTAACTTTAAATTTTTAAAGCACTTTTCTTATGAACCTCCCTCCCTCCTTTCTTAAATCTAGCCACCAGCAGTCTGCATTTGCTAAAAATAGTGGGAACAGGGTTCGCATCCAAGTTCCAACACGGGCTTCCAGCAGTAATAGCAACAGTTTCTGTTCAGACTCACACACAGTTATATCCTCTAATTAATGCGTAATACTCTTGTGTTGTCTTCCTTAGGTAGGATCACTCCTCCAGGTATTCCTCCCAGTTAGAGACATTTTTTAATTCCTCAGAGTTCAGCCTGCAACTTTGAGGGACTCCTTAGCTGCCAGCCCAAGGCCCTGCAGCTGCATTTCTGGCACTTAACAAACGTCTCCTAGCAGTTGTACATTTGAGGGCTTCAGCTTTCAGTATGCCTGTAAGCTAAATAATCACAAAAACAATAGGCTATTTCATGGCATCTTCTCCTAACTTAATTCTTTTCTGCCTTCCTGTCTACACATCTTCATGGCCACACAGGTCAGGAAGGGGTAAAGCAGAGAAAGTATTTTCTAAGTTTTGCCTTGTAAGACTTGAATTTTCTGGCTTTGATGGTGTTCTCAGCTTCCCTAACAGCAGAGTGCATCGCTTCAGGCAAGACATTCTGCTTCTGTTAATTGCATTAATGGGTAGCTGGGATTCAGCTAGAACCCAAACCAAGGGAGCACAAGAAATTATACTAACCTCCTATTACCTAAATAATGCAACTTCACTTCATGTCCCCATCTTATCTATTTTACAGGAAACTGGACACTTCTTTGAGGACCAGGCAAATTATCAGTGTGACTCTGGCTACCAGCTGGTTGGGAGTTCAGTGTTCATCTGCCAAGCCAATCGGCAGTGGTACAGTGAATCACCTCCTTACTGTGCTCCTCTCAGCTGTGGAAAACCACCACCCATCCAGCATGGCTACTCCAAGGGAGAAGCTTTTGATATGGGCTCCAGAGTTGAGTTTTTCTGTGATGAAGGCTATGAGCTGACTGGAGATGTTTCTTGGACATGTCAGAAGTCTGGGAAGTGGAACAAAAAGCAAAGCCCAAAGTGTGTGCCAACCAAATGTACAGAACCGCCCTTGGCAGAAAACCAGCTGGTCTTGAGGGAAGTGACTTACCAAGTTGGTGTGGTACAGTTCTCCTGCAAGGAGGGTTTCGTTTTGCATGGCTCCTCTGTACTAAAATGCTTGCCCTCTCAACAGTGGAATGATTCGTTTCCCTTCTGCAAAGTTGTACAGTGTCCTGCACCTCCATACATCCCCTTTGGTGATCCCTTGGCTTCATCCCTTCACTTTGGTAGCACTGTGAAATACATCTGTGTGGATGGGTTTTTGCTGAAGGGTGAGTCTACCATCAGATGCCAAGCTGATGGCTCATGGAGCTTGCCTTTGCCAGAATGTATTCCTGTGGAGTGCCCCCAACCAGAAGAAATTCAGAATGGCATTGTTGATGTGCAGGGCCTCACCTTCCTTAGCACAGCCCTCTATACATGCAAACCAGGCTTCGAATTGGTGGGGAACACAACTATCCTCTGTGGAGAAGATGGCCAGTGGCTTGGAGGAAGGCCAGCTTGCAAACCTATTCAATGCCAAAGGCCAAAGAAGATCCTCAATGGCAAATACTCATTCACGAACTTCCATTATGGTCAGACTGTTAGGTATTCCTGTGACAGAGGCTTTGAGCTCCAAGGGGAGGAAACACTGAGATGCTTAGAGACAGGGGAGTGGAGTACAGAGGTTCCTTCCTGCAAAGCCATAAATTGCCAGCCTCCTCAGCCCATCGAGAATGGCTTTGTGGAGGGTGCAGATTATAGCTATGGGGCCATGGTCATTTACAGCTGTGTGCCAGGCTTCCAGCTGTCTGGTCTTGCCATGCAGACCTGTGAAGAATCGGGCTGGTCTAGCTCCACACCAGCCTGCCTCCCAACAGATTGTGGTCTGCCTCCTCACATTGATTTTGGAGAGTACCTGCAAGTGAGACGTGGGGAAAGACGTTCTGATCAGGAAAGTGTTACAGAGCGTCCCCCCCTTTCACATACTTTACTGGCTGATAGTTTGAAAGACTTCAAAAGTTCCTTGAAGGAGGACAGTGCAGTGCAGCTCACAACCTTCTTATTTGGAACTATCATTTTATACAGGTGTTATTCAGGCTATGAGCTGGTGGGAAACCCTGTTTTAGCTTGCCAAGAAGATGGGGTGTGGAATGGCACTGCCCCTGCCTGTGTTTCAATAGAGTGCACCTTGCTGTCTCCCCCCAAGAACGGTTTTTTACATTTCACTGAGAACACATTGGGTAGCATAGTGCAGTACACCTGCAAGCCAGGGTTCACACTTGTTGGCTCTGACACACGACTGTGTTTGCCAAGTCGGCAGTGGAGTAACACAGCTCCATACTGCGTAGCAGTAACGTGTAACTCACCTCCCCGGCTTATGAATGGAAGTATAAGAGGGGAAAACTACACGTATGGGAGTGTTGTCTACTACGAGTGTGATCCTGGATACCAGTTAAATGGCCCCACAGAGAGAAGATGCCAAGAGAACCAGAAATGGGATGGCAGTGAACCAATTTGCATTCCTGTTTCCTGCAACCCACCACCAGTTTTGGAGAACGGTCAAGTGACTGGAGAGGAGTACACATTCCAGAGACATACAGAGTACAGCTGCAAGGAGGGTTTCCTGTTAGATGGGGACAGGACTAGAGTGTGCCTTGCAAACGGAAGCTGGAGTGGAATTGCTCCAGTTTGCAAAGCTGTGACCTGCCCTCTGCCACTGCCTCTTCCAAATGGGAGAATTAGTGGCTCAGACTTTGGCTTTAAGAAAGAAGTGCACTATCACTGCAACAAAGGATATAGCCTGCAAGGAGTGTCTACGCTTACCTGTCAGAGTGATGGTACCTGGAATTCAGAAGCTCCACACTGTGAGCCAGTCATTTGTGGACCTCCTGAAGACATTTCCCATGGCTTTCTCAATGGCTCAGGCTTTGCCTATGGGGAATTTGCTCAGTATGTATGCTTCCCTGGTTATGAGCTGCATGGCAATCCTTTACGGCAATGTTTGTCCAATGGCTCCTGGAGTGGAAGGCTTCCAGCCTGCCTACCCTGTCTGTGTCCTACACCACAGATTCAGAACGGGGTGGTTCATGGTACAAATTTCAACTGTGGGCAAAGTGTCCAGTTTGAATGCCTGGAGGGCTTCAAACTGCTAGGGCCTTCTGAAATCACCTGTGTGGCAGCAGGCAAGTGGAGTTCTGGGTTTCCTCGCTGTGGGCAGATTTCCTGCGGCTCTCCGCCCATCATCTCCAATGCATTTATCAACGGGAGCAGCTCTGCAGATGAGAACACCATTATCTATACCTGCTTGACAGGTTTTGTCATGCAGGGAAGTCCAGAACTGACTTGTGTGGAGACTGGAGTCTGGAAGAAGCCATATCCTAACTGTGAGCTGTTAAGCTGTGGCCCACCACCTTCTGTCCCAAATGCAGAGGTTCTTGGGAACGCTTACACCTATGGGAGCAAGGTCCAGTACAGGTAAGAATGTTGCTGCCATTCTGTTTCCATAAAATCTCTGAAGGAATGGAAATGGAAGGTTTATGCACCCTCAGTTAGTGCAGGTTTTTAAAAAAACCTTGAAGAAAAGTTTCACCCTATCTACACGCTCAGATTGACAAAGCCCACATTCCCATACACATATAAAATATTACTTGGACTACTGTCAAAGCTCCAGCAAGGGATTTCAGCCTGGTAGGCTGCACTCCTCCACTGCCTTTAGTTTCCCATTCCCTTTTGCATTCCTCTTCTCCTCCTCTGAAACACTAGTCTTGACATTCCGGTTTCCTGAGCAGGTGACAGCAACAGTCAACAGGCTGTACAATTTTTCTCCCCTTTTGACACTCCATTTACGTCTTAAAGCTGCTTCAGGTGCCTGTTGTAATATAGAAGGGCTGATCTCCCTCTTGTCCCATTTTCTGTACAGCAACACTGCACTGTCAGCAAGTGTCGCTGATGCAAAGTTACTCCTTTGTCAGGTATTGGAGGGGTTTTTCTTAATTTCCTGAAGTATGCATGCACACTGTAGATGTCTTTTTTCAAGGTGAGGAGTTCCTTGGCAGAAGGGTAGATGGATTTTTTGTCAGTAAAAGCAAATAATAGTATGGGACAGAACTGAGAAATGGCATATAGATTAGTTTAACACCATCAGTCATTTCCATGCATCTTTAACAAGATGAAGGGATTGCTTGTGTCTGCCTTTCTACATGTGCAAGTCAGCTGAGTTGTTCTTGGTGAAGCACCATGTAAAACTGAATGAATCAGCCTTAGATATCTAAGCAAATGGCCTGTGGTCAGCCTGTGGCTTGGCTTGTTCTTGGAAGAAGGTGAGATCATCTTGAGAATTGCTTGGCACTCACGCACTGTTTACGTAACCTAACCCCTCCTTGCAAAGGGAAGGGCAGTGCAGGAAATGTGTTTGTTCAGTACCCTCCAAGCACTACAGTCACCAACTGACTTTCCATTGTGGTGCTGCAGCAGCATGAAGCAGCTGGAAATGAAGTCTGAAGCTTCTAGCTCTTGCAACAGAATAAACTCAGTGCAGGCATGCTCCTTACAGGGTTACTTTGAAATCCTAAGGTGTGCTTATGAAAAGCTAATAGTGAAGACTGGCTGTATGACTTTGTAATTTCTAGCTGTGTCTCTATGGTCAGATCTTCATGCTATGTTGCAGATGCCTGGAAGGCTACTCAATGGTGACAGAGATGGATGTATGCATTTGCCAGGAAGATGGACAGTGGTCTCCTCAAAGTATTTCCTGTTGCCCCGAAAAGTGTCCCCTTCCAGGAAATATCACCCGTGTAATCATCCCTGGGGACAACTTCACTGTGAACACAAGCATCACTTTGTCATGCATAGAAGGCTATACTCTGGAGGGAGCAAGCACATCTACATGCAAGGTATAGTTATTTGCACTATTTTATTGTGCTCACTTTGTTCAATTCAAGAGTCCTCTTCCTTAGCTTTTGGCCCTTTTGCACACAATTAAAAAACCTAGCACAATAATTCTCTTAGTCATGGCATCAGCTGCGTATATTTCTGTCACATCTTGTCAAATTCTGTTTGTACATCTGCCCACAACTGATGTTTTCCAATCTGAAGTAAAAGCAGCTATACAGATTACACTTGGATTTGGTATAATGGGTTTTTTTGGGGTAGATATCAACTTTATGCAGCTCTAGAATGTCTCAATTTATTTTGAATATGCAAATAGAAAACATGATGATTGTTCTTTTCAGCAACTTACTTGTGTATGTTTATGTAAATGATGTTCCTTCTATGACTAGGTCCGTGCTGGCTTCAGATTTTCATTGTTGGCTCAGGAAGATATTTAAAACTAATGAGCTTCCTATAAGACCAGAATATTAGTTCTTGTCCTGTTACTGTGCAATTTCAGAAGTTGTGCTTCAGAATGCTAAGTGTAATCTGGTATCTAGAATAATGAAGTGGAAAATACTCAATATTTGGATGCATGTGCTGTATAAGCTTATGGTATCCTGTTATCCCTGTACTCTGAAGCAACATTGTGGACACTGGCCTATTCTGCCATGCCAAAGAATTATTGATCTGGTAGCAAGAGTGTGAAGTTGATTTTATGGGAAATGGACAGTAAGTCTTGATAGCATGGATCATACTGATGTAAGAAGAAAACTGTAGTGGTCACTCTAAATATGACTTTCAGAATTTAATTTATATTCACTGCGCTTTCAAGGTGAAGGTGGATACCTGATACAATTTTGCATGTGTCTCAACTTATATCCAGAAGCATAATGAGAAAAAACAGACTATAACAGCTGCAGTGGTACATTAGCTAAAGGGTTGTGACTTTTCCAAGTCTGTCACCGGCCTTCTGAGAGAAATCATCTCTTTTGCAACTTTGAATTTTGAGGGCAGGACCCATGAGGGCACTTGTCATCCAAAGGCATAGTTCTTCAGTTCTTCACTCTCAGACTGGAATCTGAGTTAGGTAGTAAGCTTCCTGTATCTGTGTGTGTAACCTTCTAGGAGAGGAAGGTCTCTGAGAGGATATGGGGGATTTCTGAGATTGTGGGCCAAGGCATGTCCAAGGTGTGTCTTGTGGATCTAGACCTTTGTCTGCCTGGGACTTCAGATAAGAGTAGCCTTTTTCTGGCTGACTCATAAGAGTAATGCTCTTATGGCTATTACCACTTACGTTAAAGATAATGAGATGAAAGGAATAGCTTTTAAAATGGAAGAACATGTAGCCTTGGGGAATTTCAGCTTTTCTGCTGTGTGTTTTGATTCATGTTCCTAAAAGGTCTTGATCTTTTCCTTTCAATGTGTGCTTGTGAAAATTTCATCACATTACTGTAATTGCATTCCTGAAAGGAGTTCAAATGCAGAAATTAATGTTCATTGTATCCACTTGGCATGAAAATTATGTGATCTATCTGACAATGGTTGAGAGCTGTACAGGGTTCCTGCTTTTGGGCTTTTGTTTTCAATTGTCTCCTAGCCTTTAGAGCCAGCTTCAAGACTGGCTTCTTCCTTTCCACACTACTGTCAGGCAGTCCTGATCAACAAATGCCTGTCCCTAGGAGGCAAGCATGACACTGGGGGCGAGATATCTTCAGAGCCAAGGACTGACTGTCACTGTGAAGCTTTAGCTGGGAATAGTATTAACAGCAAAACAGCAATTGCCCCCCAGCTGTAGGGGAAAGAGGCATGAGCTGAAGGCCCACCCACAACTTTAAGCTAAGGATTAAAAAACACCAAACAAACAAAAAAACACACCAACAAACCACAAACAAACAAAACACCAAACCACACAAACCATGGCTGTATCCACCAGCACGTGAAGACCCAGACCACTTCTCATGAGGTGCCACTGCAGCATGTACAGCACTGCCCTCCTGAATTACCATGCTGAGCTGTTGGAGCTGGTGGTGAAATGTGTCCAAGGATCTAAAAGTGGCATGGATCACACTCTGTCACCTGCAGCTCACTATCCATGGAGATTAGGAGGTGAACTTCTCTTATCAAAGCCAACCCCAGACATTCACAAGTCACTCATTGGAAAAAGGGACAGCAAAAATGGCATAAGAAGGTGAGGAATGTGGACTTGGTGTCCTCCCCATTGTACCTGGGACAGCAGAAAGAGCGGAATTTATTTTAAGAGAACCTTTTATTTAAAGGAATACTTGAAAGGAAGAGCATAGGCTGTAGAGGGGACAAAGTGGGGGCATTAGGGTCACAGTGTGACAGGAGGTTGTGGGATGTGGGCCTACAAGAAAGCTGAGGAGGGACTTTTTACTAGGGCATGTAGTGAGAGGACAAGGGGTAATGAATTAAAACTTGAAAAGGGGAGATGTAGATCAGACATTAGCAGGAAATTCTTTGCCATGAAGGTGGTGAGGCACTGGAACAGGTTGCCAGAGGAGTTGTGGATGCCCCCTCCCTGGCAGTGTTCAAGACCAGGTTGGATGGGACTCAGAGCAACCTGATCTAGTGGAAGGTGTCCCTGCCCATGCAGGGGTTGGATCTAGATGATCTTTAAGGTCCCTTCCAACCCAAACCATTCTACGATTCTATGATTCTGTGTCCTGCAAAATACAATACGATTGCTCCAGTAAGAGCAGTTATTAGATTTCCATGTGTTGACTATCAGAACTATAAATCATGTATTTCTTCTTCAACTGAAAACCAGTGCTGCCCTTTAGAAAAGCATTCCTTCTATAAAATTTCAGGGAATAAATCATGCCTTATACTTTTTTAAATTATGTCAAAGATTTCTAATGATTGTGTGCAGAGCTCTTTTTCTCCAGAATAACAGGCAGCACACATTTTAATCCACTATGCAGCTGCAGAAATTTGAATCCTCTGTATGTTAAAGAGCACACATCCTCATAATTTGTGCTAGCAACCTCTTGTTGCATTAGCTGTTGACAGCCTTGACTTAAGCTTGTCTGTACATATGAGAAAAGCTAAGCATGTGTTTTTGCAGAATCAGCACTTCAGAAGTAAAGGTTTTCCCCTAATTTTGCTGCTTCACAAGTCTGTGGAACTAGGAGTAGGTATTTGATGAGTGTCTCTTCAGTTTTCAGACTTCCCTTAGAGGGTTTGGGAAGGCAGCTGAAGCATTTAGCCATGGTGTTAGACATTCAGGCAGGAAAGATGTAAAGAACGTAGAATCAGGCAGCTGTAGTTTTTGCTCTTCTGCTGTGTTCCCTGAGCTATCAGATGACCTTGTACAAGTGAACTTGCTTTTCCAAGCTTCTGTTTTCCCATTTACTTTTTGTTGCTTCTGTCTTGTAAGTCTAAGATGTATATTCCTGCCAAAGCTGAGCTCCGGCCTATGTTGACATCTTAAAAGTGTTACTTTAATCACTGAATTTCATAAAGGATTGCACAGGTAATATTACATTAACCACATCTGTGCACCCACAAGCACTGAATATTTCTATGATTCTCTTTACTTTTTTGTTTAGAAATGAATTAGGCTTGTAAAGTGATGCCTTCACACTTCTAATCGTATTTATTTTTCAGGAAAGTGGCATTTGGGTGCCACCGTTTTCTGATGACATCTGCATTCCTGTGTCCTGTGGGACCCCAGAGACTCCAGAGCATGGATTTGTGGTTGGCAGTAAATACAATTACAATGATGTGGTTCTTTATAAATGTGATTCTGGCTATGATTTACAAGTAAGCAAGCTCAAATCTCCAGCACAGTATACCTTTAGTTGTCATTTTCAGTTCTTACATGAAGACAGTAAGAATGTTTTATGTTGGTCCATATTGATATATTCCCTTAACTGCCACAGAAGTTGGCAGCTGTTGTTGTTATTATGTAGAATGCCTCTAGTCTATCTGGGATAGACCTTGAATGACTTAAGGGTATAATTAAGCAAACAAGTCCATCCTGTTCAGAGATAACTGTTCAGCAGATATTTTTCAGTGTTGCTTAGTTTTTTTAATAAAAGTTGTTGAAGCCTTATAGAAGGACAGCATTATATATACTTGTTACCATAAATCACTGAAAAGTGGGTTTTCTCATGTATTGCTTTTTTGAACTGGTGGTCTGGCCAGAGTCAGACTGCACTCTTCTCTCAGTTTTGTAATGTCCCAAGCATTAGATTTGCTCCATTGTGCCTTTCAGACTCAAAGCTCCTGATAAACTACTCTGACATCAGTTCTATGACAATGCTAGATGCTATGAAAGTGCTATCACTTGCTTTAGTTAAGCAAGGAGATTCCAGTTAGTTCCATGGCAGCTTCATTCCTGGATGATGGAAAAAAGAACAAAGTTCTTTCCTGTCCATTGTTTTTATTAAGAGCATTGGGCACTTATCCCCACCTGAGCTCTGGAGCAGCTCTGCTGTCCCATTATCAGGACTCAAGCTAGCCAATTCAGAGCTGCCATAGGTGTGTTTTCAAAAGCTCCAGTAAATTCAGGAAGTAGGTTTCTGAGGCACTACGTGGCCTCCACCATCCCCAGGTGGTGGCAGAGTAGGGCCAAGTTGTGTCCAAAGGCATAAGGTGGTGAGGTGTCTCCAGGACAGAGGCTGGCTATTAATGCTGTGTTTTAGGAGTACCAAGCAGAGTGCAGGATTGTGCTTCCTTTGTACTTTTGTGGCATGAAAAATAAATTAAAATTAAAATAAATAAATTAGGAACTTCACATGTATGAATTTACCCAGTTGGGAGTGAATTACTCAATTCACTGAATTCACTCAGTATAAAAATGAGAGTTTAGAGAACACTTAGGTAGCAGCAAATTTAATTTGCATTATGTTGCTGTGTATGTAATGTCACTTGAGACAGAGGGGTAGTTAGGAATTTAGATGGATACCTAGAATGGCTGTTGCAAGTAATTTTTGGAGGTAATAAGCCAGTGCTTTCATACAGTAGAAAGTCCTTCCAAACTTTATATGCCAGCTTTGCCACCCAGCGTCAATCAGGCTCCCTGCCGTTGAAGAGAAGTCCTGCCTTTTTTCCTTTGGGAAGCAAAGTCCATTGTGTGATGACATAGAACACTCATGTCAAACAGCTGCCCTTGTCAGTGGGTTTGCTTTGTAATGAAAGTACATTACTTCAGGGAACAAAGCTAAACATTGTTCTTCCCATCTTGGAATAGAATAAGAAATAAATCCGAGGCTATTTACTGGCTGTAAAGCCTGTACTTAAGAAAGAAATAGCATTATTTACAAGCAAATTTAAAGAATGAGTGTTTGGGATGTGGTCAAAATCAGTATGTTATGTTTATAAAACAGAAAGTTGTACTGTTGTTGAAAAAAATGCTAGCAGATTTTCTGTAGGAGAGTCCTGGAAGGAGAAGACTTGTCATCATAACACATTCCTGGCACAAGAATGGTAAAACTGACAAGAAAGATGATACTCCAGGGAGCAGGACAAGAGAACTAACTTGCCCCAGAAACCTTTGGTCTATAAACAATACCCATCACTTTGCAGGAAGGAGTTCTGCCCTAAATTCTGCTACTAGACTTTGGCTAAAGCATTTAATACTTTATATGGGCACATATGAAGAGAAAAAGTACTGGCCTTGCTGAATACTAGAGCTGATGAGAGAAAAGAGTTGTCTGAGTGAAGTGGTACTTTGAGCATTTCCTTCTGTTCCACAGGGTGATGCAGAGCGGACTTGCCAAGAAGACAAGTTTTGGAGCGGCACGGTGCCAGCATGCAGAAGTATGTTCCACAAGAGTTAATGACTTCATGTCAGTCAGGGGTGATTTTACCCAAAGAAAACAGTAATGCTAATTTTGCTTTGTAACTCTTAAAAAAAATTTTTGTACATATCACTGATAGCCTGGAAGAGTTTCAGAATTGCTGGTGTCTGCAGGTAACAGTGTGAAGGAAATCACTACACCTTTCTGCCTTGCTCATGTATCTCTAAGAAAGCTGCGCAAACAGCTTCCAAGTTTAAATACTTCTGACACTTGAGACTGTGGTTTCCAGCATTAGTGGGGACTTCTGAACATGTTCATTGCCAGGAGCTGCAGGTACTTAGCATCCTAAGATGCAGCTTAGCAATCTCAATTGTCAAAGGTACTTGACTTTCCTGAGATGTGTGGTGCAGTGCCAAAATAGGAGTTGTCTATATAAATACTTATGTGGACTTCAGCTGTTGGCTGTTATTGTAAACAGTGGAATTTCCGAAGGCTCCCTGCCAGCACAGCCATAATAGATTTTGTCTTTTAACAGGAACTGGAAGCACCAAGCATGATACTGTTCTGCTACTTAGGAGCAAATACCTAGGATTTCCCAGATAAACACTGTGTTCTTTCCCTGTTCATCACAGTATAACCTATGGAGGACCTGTGCACAGGACAAGCCATGTGTATTATGTCTGATAGGAGCATAATCCTTCTGTTATAGGAGTATCGTGTGGACCCCCGGACACAATAGAAAATGGATCTTTTCAGGGAGAGGAGTTCCTCTTTGGCAGTGAGGTTTTTTACAGCTGTGACCCTGGCTTTGAGCTACAGGGACCAAGCCGAAGGATTTGCCACGTTGACAAGAAGTGGAACCCCTCCGCCCCTTCATGCACGCGTAAGTAGCAAACAGAGCTACATGGTGGCAGTTTTCCAAAAGCTGGGGAGCAAAGTGAGGGAGTGCTTTTTCTGGCTTCCTCCCAGTCTCCCCCTCCAGTTGGAGGGCTGTTAACAGCAGGAGTCGAAGGAAAAGCCAGCAGAGAAGTTCTCATTGGCAGCTAGTTCCTATTGGAATGGAAGGGAGCTACTTTTGGCACATTAAAATGGCACAGGCATAGAATTGTGCTCAGGTCAGCAGGGGAAGAGTGTGACATGCTGCATTTGATTCGCCTTGCAAAAGGGCTTTAGACATCAGGTGTTGGGATGGTTTGTCTCTGCCACGCCAAGGCAAATCATCCTAGCCATTCTCTAGTCTGGAGATCAAATCTTGGCTCCCTGTGCAGCAGAAGGTGACTAATTGTGGGAGCATGGAAAGAAGTATTCAGTACTTAGTTCATACAGTTTATAAATAAAATGCAAAGATTTATAAACTTTACCAATAAATCATTTCCCATCTTCTCATGGTGATGTCATAGTCCTACCCTTTGCCTTCTTCTCTCTCACATTTGACCATTTTGCCTGGTCTCCACAGTAAGTGTGGAACAGGAAGCAAGATCCTTCTTAACTATCATAATTTTTCTTGGGTACAATCTTGAGATCTCCTTCTCCTGTAAAGGGAGCAAAGGAAACTGAAAATGCAGCCTCTAGCCTGCTTGGAAGAAGTATTCTGGATCACTCTGAACACTCCCCAGAGCTTACAACACCATCAGATACACTTGGGCACATGCCCTTTCTGGTGTCTGCAACCTGAGACCGAGGAGAGAGGGCAAGCAAGGCATTTTATAACCCTTCTCCATATAATACTTACCAGCTTCTTTCTTCTATATTTCTGTTAATTCAGTGCTGTCAGCATGTAACAGATAGAATGGCCTTTGTTGTCTGTATAAAACCAAACAACTTCCTCCTCTCCTAGGAATTGATTGTGGGCTGCATCCCTTGATAGAAAAAGCAGAGGCCATTTCTACAGGAAGCACATACAGAAGTAATGTAAGCTTTGTGTGCAGCTCTGGATACGATCTTGTTGGGCCCCAGAATATCACATGTCTTGCCAATGGGAGCTGGAGCAAACCCTTTCCATTGTGTGAAGGTAACTGCTTTTGTAGCCTGGCACATTCCAGTGTGGGATAAGCAATAGCTCCTCCCTTATGCATGCACATCATTTGATCCAGGGATTGAGCTGCTTCCAGGGAACAATTCTGTTATGTGCATTAAAAATGATGCATCAAAAATTAAATATGTCACAAGGAGCAATGCCTGTTATGAAGCTAGAAGAGGCTTAGACATAATTTTTCCTAAGGTTTTATTCAGCAGTTTAATTAGTTTAGTGAGAAATAAGGTTACTTGCCATCTCAGAAAGCCAAACCTCTAACAAAAGATGATGGACTGTGAGGACAAGTAACTTTTCTCCCAGCAGCCTTCTGTAGTCAATTATTAGGTTGATACTCTCTTTCTGAACTTTAAACGCCAAGGACAGTCCCAGCAGCTCAGCCTTTAGCCTCCACACTGCTCATATGAACAAACACCATGAATGCTGGATAATGTACCATTTTGCAAATCACTGCTTTCAGATGTTCCTTTAGGAGGTCCTGTTGCTCGTGCCAGCAGAATGAGCACTGAGCAAGAGCAGTCTGTCATATGGAGTGAGCCGTAGGGTGTTGAAACAGATTTGTCAACACAAAAAGAGAACAAAAACTTATGATTCCGAGTTGGAACATTTAGCCCATATTGTTGGACATCTTTGTTCAAAATGTAAAACATATAGAAGCTTACTAAATTGCAGTACCATTAAGTGTGAGTGTTCTCCATGCCTGTCCTCTTTGCCATGAAAACAGAAGGTCTGTGCCTCACACTTTTTCTTTACTATCAGAAACACACTAGTTGATTTCTTGCCAATCACACTTCCTTTGAGGCTGTTCTTGTCTCTGCTGCATATACCTTGCAAGCTAGACCCAGCATCCATGTTGCTATCTCCACACCCTGCTGCACACACAGATTCAGAGAGGACCTCCATGCTGGGACAACTTCAGCGAAGTAAGATAATGATCTTCTACTCAAGGAAGGTTTCCTGTCAGCAAAGTCATAAAAACTGCATGAGGTCTAGGGACCATCAGATGAAATGTTGAGCAACCACACAATGAATGGGATCATTGTGCACTACACTGCCCTAGTGCTTTACAGGCCTTATAATAGCAACCTGAAAAATTGATAGAGCTCAGTCACATCAGAGAGGAGATCTCTAGTACCTAGCCACAAACCTAAGAAAAGTCACTGTAGCAGTGCTGAACAGGTGTCAGGAGACAATCTTGAACAAGGTTGTGCACAGATACCTCATTAACCCCTGTCTTCCTCTTGCCTGATAGCCTTGTGACTGGCTGATAGTTTAATCTTCAGTCATTGCATTACACAGACTGCCTTGTGTATAGCAGTGGTAACTCAGCTTGGACTCTCCGTCTGCTGTCTTCAGAAAACACAGCTGAGAATCTTGAGGGAAGCAATTAGTAGTATTAATGTCAGCATCTTGCACCACACCCATCCTGCACCTCATGTGATATTTCTTGCCAAGTAAAGAGTTAGCGTGCAAAGGGCTCCCAGTTTATGCATTATCTCTCGGTGGCAAGAAAGAATAATCTCCATGTTCTGTTCTACTGACCTCAGTAGGAAGTCATAAATGTGTCCTCTCCTCCCCACCACTGCCACATTTTGAAAAACTCGTGGCTCTGGCTTTTCTTCATCACTAGGAGGAGCTCCTTCCCTAGTTTTGCTACATTTCCTTCCCAGGGCTACTAAACTCTCCTTTAACGCTCTTTTTGATTTATTGGTCTGTGACTGTTACTTTATACACATTGTGTAATTCAGGAATTGTTACAAGTCCAGGTCTAATATAAAAGTGAATTAATGAGAGCTCTTCCTTTGCAGAGACCAGATGCAAAGTTCCAGTTCCCTTGCTGAATGGGAAGGCAATTTATGAAAACAATACAGTTGGCAGTACAATAGCATACTTCTGTGAGGGGGGATACAGCTTGGAAGGGGAACCAGAGGCAGAGTGCACAAGAGATGGAAGATGGAGTAATCCCTTGCCTCTCTGTAAACGTGCGTGTTTGCTTTGTAATGAAAAGGTCATCTCAATTTGTAAGCGTGAAAGTCTAAGCTGCTCTTCATTTAAACGGACAGCTAACGAGAGCAACTTCTGCAGATCTTTGTGGAAATGTACTGTAATTTTCTTCCGAAGTGGCCATAAGCAGAATTTGTCACTTGCTGTTTAAAAAATTTGTGTAGCCTACATTGGGAAGTGTGTTGATGTGCATCCCATTTTTACAGAGGAACAAAGGGAGCAGTTACTGAGCCATGTTAAAGTATTAATGTGCCTGAGTGTATTTTTGTGAGAGTAAAACAATGAGCTGTGCTCTGCATAGCTTCCTTTAGTTGGAAAGCTGACATAAAATGGAGTAAATTGTAGTCAACGACTTGATATATGAGAAGCAGGGGAGAGAAAACTTTGGAGGCAAAAGGGAAGATTTTTGTCTTCAGCTGACTGTTGAGAAGGTGTAAAGAAAAAATAGCCACACTTTTCTTGGAGGTGCATGGTGGTAAGATGAGAGGCAATGGACACAATTCCAATAAGGGAAATTCCAATTAAGTAACTGAAACTTTTTGCCATTATAGCAAACACAGAAACAGGGCCAGAGAGAATGTGAAATCTCCATCCTTGGAGATACTGAGATTTCATCTGGTTGAGTCCCAGAAAAACTTCTGACCTAGTTGGCTCTGCTTTGAGAAGGAGGCCTGACTTCATGGCTGCATCCGTTGTTCTGTGATGCTGTGAAAGAGCACCATACTCACAGGTGCACTGTACACACACACCCACAGTAGCATTCCTTGTTGGTGTATGTGTCTGTAACTGGCTTTAACATCTATTATAGTCTTGAGGTGGTTAATTGAGGCACAATTTTGTCTTACAAAGGGCACACAGAATTTTAATTTCAGAAAACTGGCATCACTCTCTGCTGTATGTAGAGCCCAACCTTTTCCACATTCATGATGAGGTAACAGACCATGTAAAAATAACTCAACAAGCTTACAGTCAGCAAGATTCTCAGAGAAATTCTGAACTCTAATGAATGTTATTGCAAGTCTCTGCTCAAACACTTTGATTTTTGCTGTGGTCCAGCCCCTCAGAACAAGAAGTAGGATAGGTCTCTCTTTTTTATAGTAAGGTTATGGTGAACAGGAATGGGAAGAGAGAATGGTTTGGTAGTAATAAAAAGGATAGTCCCTACATAAATCATTAGTATTCCTTCTGCTTCAGTAGACTATGGTAGCAAGCCACATGACAGCAGAGAATCAAACCTTTTATTATTATTTTATGACTCAACTCACATAACTGGACCTGAAATTACAAATTGGACTAGTGTGCATGCATTTCTATTGCTTTTCTTGTTTAATTTTGAAGTTTGCCAAAACTATTCTAAAGTTTTATCTTCTTCCATCCCTTTTTCCTCCCTTCTTCTTTTCCCTCCTACTCTTTCTATGAACAGCAAACCCATGTCCTGTGCCTTTCATAATCCCAGAGAACGCCCTTCTGTCTGAAGTGGATTTTTATGTTGGTCAGAACATATCCATCAGGTGCAGGGAAGGGTACCAGCTGAAAGGGCAGTCTGTGATCACCTGTAACGCTGATGAGACCTGGACTCCAGCAACAGCTAAGTGTGAAAGTAAGTACACAAGATTCAGTTCTGCAGGGGCTTGGTACTTTCCAGAGGGCTGGTGAGGAGAGCTGCATCCCACAGAAGAGTGATAGCACGGATGTGTCTGCAGAGCAGACACCTAGATGCAGCTATTCTGGGAGAGGAGAGCAGTTGCCTCCTATTGTCATTTGGAGAGGCTGGTCACTCTGAGAGATCCAAGCACATACAGGCAACTTAAGAAGCTGTACAGAAGAGCTATTTCTTTGTTTGTTCTAACACAGTTGTTTCTTTAAAAGGATCCAGAATATATCTATGTGGATTGATGCCTCAAGAGCTATCTAGTAGACCTTACTGTAATTTTCTTCTTGATTTACCTTTTGCAAGCACTGCAGTGGGGATTGGTTGTTGGATACCCTGAATACCCTGAGAACTATTCCTTTGAGGTTATGGGTAATGAGATGAGCATTGTAGGGAGAGGTCCTGTCTATTACTGTATTTATTGACACTGATAGAAGGCATAGTATCTTTTTGCAGGCATGGCTAAAAGCTTTTTGGCTTCTTGCAAGCAGTATTGTTTAGTTCAAACAGTGACATGACTTCACCCTACAAGCCCAGTCTCATGTATGTACTGGCACCATCTGGAAGTTTCTGGTATGTAGGTACAAGTTCTCCCTGTGAACGTCTGCACCATGAAGAAGTCCTCCTTACTGGTTTCGTATCAGAGGTGTCTCTCTGACACCTCCCAGGTCTTTTTTGCAAAGCACTGTGCCCAGGATTAGAAACTCTTGTGTTGGCACTGCAGCTTATCAGCCTCTGGATGATTTCTTTTCTTTAGAGATATCTTGTGGGCCCCCAGCTCACACAGAGAATGCTCTGATTCGTGGCAGCTTCTATCAGTATGGAGACATGGTCACTTATTCATGCTACAGTGGGTATATGCTGGAGGGGCCCCTGAGGAGCGTTTGCTTAGAAAATGGAACCTGGACAACACCACCTACCTGCAAAGGTAAGTCTTTTTTATGAAGAGAAACATATGTTAGCTTGCCATAAGCATAGAGGTGTCATCCTAACTGCAACAAAAATAAAAGTGAATTTTTTGCTAGTTTCAGTGCAGTCATGGTTTCACCCAGGGCATTTAAAGGAAAGGGTATTTCTTTATTTGCAGGTGGAAGAGAGAGCTTACACAATTTTTCTCTTCAAGTCCTTGCTACTCTTACAGTTTCTTTTGCTACAATGTTGTATTCCACACCTAAGATCCTCTCTTCTTACATCTTTTTGGGAGAAAGTGATAGATCCAGTGATCTTTCTGACATGCTGAGCTGTTTCAAGTAGGCGCTGTGAGTCAGGTTTTCACACTGCAGAAAACAAAAACATCCAATAGGTGCTTCATCTCACTTAGTTTAGGCCTTGGCAGCTCCAGAAAATTGTTTTGCAGTTAAATACTTATGGAAAGATTGATAGAAGTCACTAAGTAATACACAGTAATACTGCAGAAATTTCATGGTTTTATCAAAATACCGAAGGCAAATTCTCTTGTCGCATACCGACAAGAAAATGTAACTTTTTGGTTTACTGAGCAAAAAAATGCACTTGTTTAAGTTACAGGATTAACTCTTCTACACAGAATATTCAAATAGTTGAAATGTTCTGAATTAAAAGTGGAGAAAACATAACAAAAAACATAGAAGATATTATTAAGTAAACAGTTTAAAACAGATATGAGTATCTTCAAAGACCTTCTTAAACCAAGGATGAGCCATAGCAAAAGGGTTCTGGGGTCTGAGTGTTTGGATGAAAAAGACATTGCCATCTGCCATTTCCTTATTAGAGGCTTGACTAGCTGCCTTCTGCCAAGTAGCCATAAGGAGCCGAGTTGGATGTACCCTGAAGTCTTAATCTCAGATGCTATAACAGCAACCATACTACACACTGAGCTGTACATATTTTGTGTAGAAACATGACTATTCAAAACAAAAAAACTTAGAACACATCAGTGGCCAGACCCGTTCCCTAAGCTCAAGAACTCCCATGGAAGAGGAAAGGTGCCAAAATGCTGATCTGGGAACATAAGAGTCATCATCAAGGTTGTCAGATCTGTCTCTCAACCTGCAAGTCTCAGCTCCCCATGCTGAAAAAAGAAGGTTCAGTATTTCCTCCTTCCTTAACTATTTTCTCTTTAGGTCAGAAGCCCTTTGAAGATGGAGGATTCTACACTGTACTAAGCCTGACTTACCAGGGTCCCCTCGTTAGTTTTTTGTTTAAATTCTGACAGCAAAATATTATGAATGTCAAGACCTAGAAAAGCTGAGTTGCACCAGTCTGTGAAAGCAGGCACTCTGTTAAAACCCTGTACCTTACATTTGTTATTGCCTTGCCTAGAAATCATGGATTAGCAGATCATTTTAAAGAGACCCAGAGCCAAAGAACTGGGCTTGTAACTCCTGAAGTTCAGGAATAGAGAAGCTGCTCCTGAAAAACAGATTTCTCCTGGTTATGTGAATGTGGCCTGTCATTGTCATGAAGAATCGCCTGTCAATTAGCCAAGGGGAGAGGGTTTACAGTAAAAGCACCTGAGTTACTTCAGATGTCAAGAGGTATCAAATTTATACTGCCAAGGCAGCAAGCCTTTTCTGAAAAGTTTGCCAAGTATCTTGTAATTGTTTTTCTAAACTGTGGTGGCTACAGAATTCAGGGGATCTGTGCACAATAGCTACTCTACCTAAGCTATTTTTATATTATTTCTTCAGATTGTAAGGCTTAAAATTCTTCAACTGCACCATTAGTATCAACAGCTTTACTTTTTATTCTTATTTAGTACATATCAGTTTCACAGAACCCTACTTTATGCCAAGAGCTGTAGTTTCCTCCTAAAAGAGGTTCTTGCCACTGTTGCTAGCAATCTGGAAGGGCTGATGCATGAAGCACTGTCAAACATTTCCTGTTTGCAATACTGTGGAGTCTATAGAGCTGTTCAGAGGAATAGATATTAGGGAAAATTATTTAAAAAAAAAAAAAGTGATGAGGTAGACAGATGATTAGGGTGTAGTACAGGAAAACAGAACAGAATGAGCTGCCTTTTGGTGTCTTGAGGGAGAGGTATAACAATTCTCCCCTCCCCCCTTCCTCTTTTCATCTTAAAGGGGAACAAAAAAGGACTAAAGATGTTCCTGAGGGGACCAACACATGACACATGTCAAAATAATCTTTCAAAACTGCTTTATAATTCATTTGAGAGATTTGCCTAACAAAAGGCCTACAGGACCCAAGCCTTTGTGGTCTACATCAGAAGCAACATAAAAGCACTCTTTGTAATGACTCATGTTGCACTTCTTGTTTTTAGCTCTGTGAGTTGATTATTAATGTGTCCTAAGCCTGCTTGAAACATTCTGGCCTGGTTGAACAGGTTAGTTAATGCAAATATTATAATTAAAAAGCAGACTTCATAAGCTTCTTTGGGAGAGGACTCACCACAGCTGCACTTGCCTGAATCACTGCTGGTTAGAGGCTGCAGGACAGATTCTGATCTGAGTTTCAGGGGTGAGAAGTATTAGCCTGGATCTACTGATCATAAACACCCGCAGGATTCAGCAGGCTGCACAGATGCACACATCTTGTGACTTCAATTTTTAATGTCTGAAATGCTCTAAAATCTGTGTTGCCTCTTGGCTCTCTGCCCACATCTTGGTGACTGGGAGTGGTTAAGTGTGGAGCTGCTGAAAAAAAAGTTCATACCCCAACAGCAAATGAGCATTATGAGGGAGCAGCTAAGGCACGGAGGAAATTGTTCACTTGTAACAACAGAGATCAGCTACCACTAACTGAAGTCACGGCCAGTGGTTCCCATTCTCTCTCCACTAAATCAGGACTGCATTTTCCCTTTTTGCTTTTACAGTAGCTAAGAAAGAGAATGAGATCCCAGTGCCTAAAGACTTTCTCTAGTCTTGTCCATTGAGTGAAAACTAATCCCCAAAGCTACAGACACAAAGTCTGTGCCTGCCTAAACTGGTGTATAAGAAGTGCACACTTACAGGTGATACTCTTATTCAGTCAGGGCCTGGGTGGAAATCTGGGAAAAATCTCTTTCTGAGATCCTGAATCACTGATCAGGATGGAGCTGCCATCAAAAACTATTTATCTTAACTCATTAAATATTCACATTATCTCCTTTGACCGAGAAAATAAATTTCAGAGACCATTTTTAATGGGCTTTGAATTTAACATGGGCTATCATTTATGCACAAACCTTTTGCCTCCCATCCCATTATACATTCATGGGATGTTGCTCTAAGTGGTGTGGATCACACAAAGCTTTAAATGGTTTTTGATTCAGCTTTCATGATTTTTCATTGCACAAAGAAAATCTGCTTGGCACTCTATTCTGCTTTAGGCAACACCCAGAGACCAGATGTCTGCATAGTCATACATATCTTTACAACAAAATTGTTCAAAATACATGTTAAATATTGCAATTTCTATGAACCTGCCAGGGTCTAAGGTCTCTTTCCTGTCTCATTATCAGCTGACATTTGATGGGAAGGTTCTTGAGATTGAAAATAAAACAGGAAAAGCTTTGGCTGCATTTCAACAGACTCCAAGCTGTAGCTGGCAGCTTGGCATGGCTTAGCTCTAAGAGTAACTCAAGTTTGGCTCTAGCAGGGAAAGATTTGCATTCGTTCCAATGTGGAGCTCAGGTCTGAACATTGTTTCAGTGTTCTAAAAAAAATGTTTTTATTTAATACTAACACTGAACAAGTTCTGAAACAAAGCCTAACTTTCAAGGTTAAACTCTTATTTTGCTCACCTAGTAATTAATTAAAGATAGGATGCAATTTACAGTTCAGACTGAGTTTTCTGAGGCTAGTCTGTACTCATAACTACCAGTAATTAGAAGTTAATCTGATTACTTATTTGTTCTATCGTATCACCTCGAAGCCACGATTTTTGATCTTCTGTATATAGTATGTAAACCAACATGACAAGGATTGTACTTCCTCCAATAATCTTTCAGTCTAATGTGTTTGTATTTAGCTTGTCACCTGATTTTTTGAAGTAGTCCTGCTTTTCCTGGATGTATATTCCAAGAAATGTGCAATGTCATAGAAACAATAATGAAGTCAAAGCCTGTCCAGTCCAGGCAATATATTGGGGTAGCATGATAGATTCAAGTTCAGATTCCTCACTTCCATGATCAAGTGCTTACTATTAACAAGTGTGTAAACCAAGGAGTACCAGACCGCATGCATGCTAAGTGAGGTTTATAGTAATACTTTGGGTTCCACAGGTAAACACTTCACTGTGCCACTGCTGCACCCTTGTTGGTGCCTCCTCATTAGGCTGGAGGACAGTGCAACAACAATTGCTTGTTCTACCACAGTGTTTAATCTTACCTTCAACAAGCCCTATATTATGTCAGACAGCGTTATCTTGGTGCCTCCTACCAAGATTAGAAGAAAGCTTGATTTTATTTTAGACTTAATTTAAAAGAGGAGGGGAAAAAAGAGCAATAGTTTTTGGGGAGGACGGGAGGCTTTTGTTTTGTTTTATAAAAAAGCTGATAAAGCATAGCGTCAGCCTTGAAACCATTGTCCAAACAATTTAACCAACTACACTAAAAATGTCTTAGGTTTTCATTCTTGCCATGGACAACTTGTGATTGTCTTAAAGGGTTCCCATACTGCTGCCCATACTATCTAGTCAGACACACAGAGCCAGAAAATTATGTAGCCCTTGAAACTAAAGTCAAGTTACATTTTTGAACTTCACTACATTTGTTTGCTCTACTTTAAACTGCAAAGATCTGTGCAAGATGCTGAATCACTAAGCTTCTAATTAACCGTCTCAAGTTTATAATGAAACTTTATTGTTTTTAGCTGTCTGTCGGTTCCCATGTCAGAATGGTGGCATCTGTGAGAGACCAAATGCCTGCTCATGTCCAGATGGCTGGATGGGTCGCCTCTGTGAAGAGCGTAAGTGTATTATCCTCAAGGATGTTGTTGGAAAGACTAGTGAATTTACTTCGGTGAACTGGGTGGGAAAATCAAAGACATAAGATCTGAAAACATAAAGATAATTATTTTGTTCTACTTGGTGAATTAGAGAGAGCAGAAACGACTGATTGCTTGATTCTAGAGCAATTACCATCTCCTGACATCTCCAAACAAAAACAAGCCTTTTTTTAATTGATGTGATTTTGTTTGTGGTTGCTCTTTCATTGTGGTTGAAGAACAGCTTGCTTCAGTTCTCCGAAGTCTGTATGTAATAGCAATACGTGATCGTTTCAGGGAAAGAACAGGGGTTAGAACAGAAGAGGTCTGAGTGTTCTGCTGGTGGCTGTATTAGTTTCTTGGCTTCCTTTTTTACCAGTCTGAGATTATGAACCTGATCGGTTTGTGTTCAAATAATACAACTGTGTCACCTTTTCTATGCTGTCCTTCCTGACTGGTGTACCTCTATCCCATAAGTTCTGGGCAGGCTTTTATCTGGCCTGGATCTCTGAATAGTTTGTAAACTGTTTCCATCTGCTTCTGATGGAAACATCTGTCCATTCCATCTGTCTCCTGGGTTTGTCATATTATCTGTGTGATACAGGGGGTGCTAGTTTGTGCCATGTTTCCCATTTTCTTCATGGTGCTCTTAGCACAAGGAATGTGGAGGACTAACCCTTTCACACAAGTGTATCTGCAGCATGAGAAGCCTTATTACTCTACACATATTTAGGCATGGGCCTATGTGGATGGAGAAGAAAAGTACCCTTTCTGTAGTTAGTACTCAGTGTGGACCTGATGAAAAGCTGTAGCATGTCCAAGAACATTTGCAGCTGAGTTGATGTCACTGTCCCTGGCTCTGAACATACACAGAGACTTATGAAAAGATGAGCCACCTCTTCCTGTAGTTCATGGAGAGCAGTGTGGTTTGAGCATTTTGTTAGGTAAATGTATCACATCTTAAACTGGTCCTCTGAATCTACCTCTGCAGCTTTCAGGTCTTCTCTGTGGCAGTGTCCGTTCCACATGGCACAAATTAGCATAGATGCAGAATGAGAAGAGGTTCAGCAAGTTTTGTGCTTCTGACAAAACAGAAACTCCAGTTATGTAGTGCATTCCCACAGCCCCTTTTTTGCAGTCCCTTTGTCAGTACCACCACAGCCAGACATGCAAACTCAGCCCTGTATGCTTCACAGTTTCAGCAGAAGAGGACTGAGCCCTGTGTTTAATATGCTACCATTTATTTCCTTGCCATACCATTAGTAACGGTATTAATGCATTCCTCAGGATTAGAGAACAAATTTTATGCCCCCAGTCATTTTCATCTGTCATCCCAATTCAAACCATTTCCCTGTGTGATAAAAATGAACAGGCAGCTGACCAGTGAAATCACACTTTATGCAGATAAAAGCACCAGCTCTCTCTTTGGTTTTTGCTTTTTTTCCCTTTATTTTGGCAGAGGTGGTGAAGAGAGGGGGAAAAGAATTCCCATAGTTTGTTAGTTCCATCTCAATTTTGCCATGTTGCTTGTCAAGCAAGGTGCACCAGTGGACAGAAAAGATAGGTTTAGTCTTTGGACTTGAGGGTCAGTTCTGAAAGTCAAAGGGATTTATGAGTGCTAGCACTGGGCACTGATCTGTCAGGATCAGGCCACAAGTGAGGTCACAGAGCTCTAACAGAATTCAGCCACCTTGTAGCTCACAGTACAATTCACAGATGACAAGATAGATTCATCCTCCTGAGAGAGGCCTGACCACTCTAAAAACCATACAGAGCCTTATAAGTGTAATGATACAGACAAGTATTTCTTGGTGATATGGGTTAGTCCTTTGAGCTCCAAGGAAGTTCAATATTCTTTTCTTATCCAGGCTGACTGCACCTGCTTAGCTTAACCTCTGCTGTGCAGCAAAAGAAGATGAACCTCTGCATCAGTCCTCTAAAGTTCCTATCCTCCATCCCAGTATAAAACTACTGGAAGTGCCACTTAAGGGTCCAAATTTGAGACCCAAATAAACTGTAGCTCTTGTTTGCACAAGTGCTGTTTCAGTTGGTTTAGTGCAGGTGGTAGTTTTGTGAAGGTGCTTAGGTCACCAACAGGATACATGTTGGACACTTTTGAAGATCTGCTCCCAGGAGCAGTATAGCTTGCTCAGTGCTCAGTTCGGATGCCATCAGCTCTTTGGTGTCTGCTTTGTTTCTTCCCCAAAACTTCCAGCCACCGTCAACCTGTTGCACCCAAAGCACCTTGTATCAAAGATGCCTTTCCACTACGGACTTGTGGTGCCACCCCTCTCAGCATGTTTTCACTGACCCAGACCAAGTGCTATTCTATGGGTAATGCCTGGATCACTGGTTTAGCATGTTACATTGTGGGACCCTGGGGAATCCACAAACAATCTAATTGGTTGTTATTAAACCATGAACTGATTTTGTTAGCTATCATCACAGAAGTGGGCTATGTCTGTGGATATTACATGTGAGAAGCAAGCAAACAGCCCTGCTCATTTCCAGTGAGCATGGAGCCTGGAGCCTAGAGCCTGAAAGACTCTAGCAATTGCTCCAGCCTGTCCATTTCACAAAATTTCTGCTTTCTGGCCACCATGCCAGTCATATTTGCTGCTCGTGCCTCAACTCACATGCAGATACTTTGAGGCATAGTAGTTTTTCATTAAACAGCATTTCATTTCTTGTACACTCTTTTCTTTGTTCTCATGGAAGATAATTCTTTTCATTTGTTCTCTTCTTCTCTCCTTAGCAATATGCATTCTGCCATGCCTCAATGGGGGTCGCTGTGTGGCCCCTTACCAGTGTGACTGCCCCCCAGGATGGACTGGATCACGCTGCCATACAGGTAAAGCTGCTTTCACCTGCATTTTTTTTCTCATTGTTTGTGACTGTGCTATCAGTACCTAGCACAGCTCACTAAGGACTCTGCAGAACTACTGAGCTTCTCACAGGAAAGCACAGGGCCTGTGACAATATTCATGGAGGATTTGCTGTTCCCAGCTACTATTCTCAGAGTAGTCCCTGATGAGTCTTAAAAATCCCCAGAAAAGCTTGGTGCCAGAAGAGACAACCAGCATTCACAAGAGTGCCCTCTGCAAAAAGCAGTGCAGAGGTGAGGTTTGCCAAAGAGAAGAATAAAACTAGACTGTCCATTCCAAGA